GGGAGCCGGTCGGCCGAGCGGACAGCACGCTGGACTTGTGATCCTGTGGTCCTGGGTTAGATCCCAGGCGCCGGCGAGAAACAATGGGCAAACTTTCTTTCACCCTGAATGCCCCTGTTACCTAGCAGTAAATAGGTACCTGGGAGTTAGTCAGCTGTCACGGGCTGCTTCCTGGGGGTGGAGGCCTGGTCGAGGACCGGGCCGCGGGGACACTAAAAGCCCCGAAAGCATCGAAAGCAAAGCATCTTGACTCTGATTGTGCCATGGGCACAATCAGAGAACACTGTATAAACATCAGAGGTCCGCGGTTGTTCAACGTCCTCCCAGCAAGCATAAGAAATATTGCCGGAACAACCGTGGACATTTTCAAGAGGAAACTAGATTTATTCCTCCAAGGAGTGCCGGACCAACCGGGCTGTGGTGGGTATGTGGGCCTGCGGGCCGCTCCAAGCAACAGCCTGGTGGACCAAACTCTCACAAGTCGAGCCTGGCCTTGGGCCGGGCTTGGGGAGTAGAAGAACTCCCAGAACCCCATCAACCAGGTATCTGTCACGTACCACGCCAACACCACCTCGCCTATCATTCCTCACTTCCATAGCAAGACCTCGTGGGTGTCAACGTCCCATAGCAAGACCTCGTGGGTGTCAACGTCCCATAGCAAGACCTCGTGGGTGTCAACGTCCCATAGCAAGACCTCGTGGGTGTCAACGTCCCATAGCAAGACCTCGTGGGTGTCAACGTCCCATAGCAAGACCTCGTGGGTGTCAACGTCCCATAGCAAGACCTCGTGGGTGTCAACGTCCCATAGCAAGACCTCGTGGGTGTCAACGTCCAAGCACTTCCGTCAAGTCCCGGTCAAGTAACAGTGATCTTCCAACAAGAGGGACAGCAAGCACTATGATGCAAGACGGTGGACCCAAATTACCTCCAATTAATGACAATTTACCTATAACTGACCGCTTGTCGGCAGTCACTCAACTGCCGTCACCCTCGACGTCAACCTGGTGGTCGTATATAAGCCCCGGCGTGCCCACACTACATGAGGGGGTCGTACAGAAGCCCCGGCGTGCCCACACTACATGAGGGGGTCGTACAGAAGCCCCGGCGTGCCCACACTACATGAGGGGGTCGTACAGAAGCCCCGGCGTGCCCACACTACATGAGGGGGTCGTACAGAAGCCCCGGCGTGCCCACACTACATGAGGGGGTCGTACAGAAGCCCCGGCGTGCCCACACTGCATGAGGGGGTCGTACAGAAGCCCCAGCGTGCCCACACTACATGAGGGGGTCGTACAGAAGCCCCGGCGTGCCCACACTACATGAGGGGGTCGTACAGAAGCCCCGGCGTGCCCACACTGCATGAGGGGGTCGTACAGAAGCCCCTGGTGTGCCCACACTGCATGAGAGGGTCGTACAGAAGCCCCGGCGTGCCCACACTGCATGAGGGGGTCGTACAGAAGCCCCGGCGTGCCCACACTGCATGAGGGGGTCGTACAGAAGCCCCGGCGTGCCCACACTGCATGAGGGGGTCGTACAGAAGCCCCGGCGTGCCCACACTGCATGAGAGGGTCGTACAGAAGCCCCTGGTGTGCCCACACTGCATGAGAGGGTCGTACAGAAGCCCCGGCGTGCCCACACTACATGAGGGGGTCGTACAGAAGCCCCGGCGTGCCCACACTACATGAGAGGGTCGTACAGAAGCCCCTGGTGTGCCCACACTGCATGAGAGGGTCGTACAGAAGCCCCGGCGTGCCCACACGGCATGTGAGGGTCGTACAGAAGCCCCGGCGTGCCCACACTGCATGTGAGGGTCGTACAGAAGCCCCGGCGTGCCCACACTGCATGTGAGGGTCGTACAGAAGCCCCGGCGTGCCCACACGGCATGTGAGGGTCGTACAGAAGCCCCGGCGTGCCCACACGGCATGAGAGGGTCGTACAGAAGCCCCGGCGTGCCCACAATGCTCCAGCAGGAACCCCAACAACTGCCTCCACACATTATGCACATCCTGGCCCCGTCGCCGTCTCCGGCAGCTTATCCTCTCAGGGAACCGGCTTCTCATTAAAGCAAACACCTCCTCCAGGGGCTTCTAGCACTCAATATAAGTGTGCACTTGAGGGGAGGTTGAGGGGAAGGTCGCGCTCAGGTCATGATGGCTCCATTGTTTACCTGAATGCTGAAATATGGTCGTTGAGCCTGCAGTGTCACAGTTCAGCCTGCAGTGTCACAGTCAGCCTGTAGTGTCACAGTTGAGCCTGTAGTGTCACAGTTCAGCCTGTAGTGTCACAGTTCAGCCTGTAGTGTCACAGTTGAGCCTGCAGTGTCACAGTTGAGCCTGCAGTGTCACAGTTGAGCCTGCAGTGTCACAGTTGAGCCTGTAGTGTCACAGTTCAGCCTGTAGTGTCACAGTTGAGCCTGTAGTGTCACAGTTCAGCCTGTAGTGTCACAGTTCAGCCTGTAGTGTCACAGTTGAGCCTGTAGTGTCACAGTTGAGCCTGTAGTGTCACAGTTGAGCCTGTAGTGTCACAGTTCAGCCTGTAGTGTCACAGTTGAGCCTGTAGTGTCACAGTTCAGCCTGTAATGTCACAGTTGAGCCTGTAGTGTCACAGTTGAGCCTGCAGTGTCACAGTTGAGCCTGCAGTGTCACAGTTCAGCCTGTAGTGTCACAGTTCAGCCTGTAGTGTCACAGTTCAGCCTGCAGTGTCACAGTTCAGCCTGTAATGTCACAGTTCAGCCTGCAGTGTCACAGTTGAGCCTGCAGTGTCACAGTTCAGCCTGTAGTGTCACAGTTCAGCCTGCAGTGTCACAGTTCAGCCTGTAGTGTCACAGTTCAGCCTGTAGTGTCACAGTTCAGCCTGCAGTGTCACAGTTCAGCCTGTAGTGTCACAGTTCAGCCTGTAGTGTCACAGTTCAGCCTGCAGTGTCACAGTTGAGCCTGTAATGTCACAGTTGAGCCTGTAATGTCACAGTTGAGCCTGTAGTGTCACAGTTGAGCCTGCAGTGTCACAGTTGAGCCTGCAGTGTCACAGTTGAGCCTGCAGTGTCACAGTTGAGCCTGCAGTGTCACAGTTGAGCCTGCAGTGTCACAGTTGAGCCTGCAGTGTCACAGTTGAGCCTGCAGTGTCACAGTTGAGCCTGCAGTGTCACAGTTGAGCCTGTAGTGTCACAGTTCAGCCTGCAGTGTCACAGTTCAGCCTGTAGTGTCACAGTTCAGCCTGTAGTGTCACAGTTCAGCCTGTAATGTCACAGTTGAGCCTGCAGTGTCACAGTTCAGCCTGTAGTGTCACAGTTCAGCCTGTAGTGTCACAGTTGAGCCTGCAGTGTCACAGTTCAGCCTGTAGTGTCACAGTTGAGCCTGCAGTGTCACAGTCAGCCTGTAGTGTCACAGTTGAGCCTGTAGTGTCACAGTCAGCCTGTAGTGTCACAGTTGAGCCTGCAGTGTCACAGTTGAGCCTGCAGTGTCACAGTTGAGCCTGTAATGTCACAGTTGAGCCTGCAGTGTCACAGTTGAGCCTGCAGTGTCACAGTTGAGCCTGTAATGTCACAGTTGAGCCTGTAGTGTCACAGTTGAGCCTGCAGTGTCACAGTCAGCCTGTAATGTCACAGTTGAGCCTGTAGTGTCACAGTCAGCCTGTAGTGTCACAGTTGAGCCTGCAGTGTCACAGTCAGCCTGTAGTGTCACAGTTGAGCCTGTAGTGTCACAGTTCAGCCTGTAGTGTCACAGTTGAGCCTGCAGTGTCACAGTCAGCCTGTAGTGTCACAGTTGAGCCTGCAGTGTCACAGTCAGCCTGTAGTGTCACAGTTGAGCCTGTAGTGTCACAGTTCAGCCTGCAGTGTCACAGTTGAGCCTGCAGTGTCACAGTTCAGCCTGTAATGTCACAGTTGAGCCTGCAGTGTCACAGTTCAGCCTGTAGTGTCACAGTTGAGCCTGTAGTGTCACAGTTCAGCCTGTAGTGTCACAGTTGAGCCTGCAGTGTCACAGTTCAGCCTGTAATGTCACAGTTGAGCCTGTAGTGTCACAGTTGAGCCTGCAGTGTCACAGTTGAGCCTGCAGTGTCACAGTTCAGCCTGTAATGTCACAGTTGAGCCTGTAGTGTCACAGTTCAGCCTGTAATGTCACAGTTGAGCCTGCAGTGTCACAGTTGAGCCTGCAGTGTCACAGTTCAGCCTGTAGTGTCACAGTTCAGCCTGTAGTGTCACAGTTCAGCCTGTAGTGTCACAGTTGAGCCTGCAGTGTCACAGTTCAGCCTGTAGTGTCACAGTTGAGCCTGCAGTGTCACAGTTGAGCCTGCAGTGTCACAGTTCAGCCTGTAATGTCACAGTTGAGCCTGTAGTGTCACAGTTGAGCCTGCAGTGTCACAGTTCAGCCTGTAGTGTCACAGTTGAGCCTGTAGTGTCACAGTTGAGCCTGTAGTGTCACAGTTGAGCCTGTAGTGTCACAGTTCAGCCTGTAGTGTCACAGTTGAGCCTGCAGTGTCACAGTTCAGCCTGTAATGTCACAGTTGAGCCTGCAGTGTCACAGTTCAGCCTGTAGTGTCACAGTTCAGCCTGTAGTGTCACAGTTGAGCCTGCAGTGTCACAGTTCAGCCTGTAGTGTCACAGTTGAGCCTGTAGTGTCACAGTTGAGCCTGCAGTGTCACAGTTGAGCCTGCAGTGTCACAGTTCAGCCTGTAGTGTCACAGTTCAGCCTGTAGTGTCACAGTTGAGCCTGCAGTGTCACAGTTGAGCCTGCAGTGTCACAGTTGAGCCTGCAGTGTCACAGTTGAGCCTGCAGTGTCACAGTTGAGCCTGCAGTGTCACAGTTGAGCCTGTAGTGTCACAGTTGAGCCTGCAGTGTCACAGTTCAGCCTGTAATGTCACAGTTCAGCCTGTAGTGTCACAGTTCAGCCTGTAATGTCACAGTTGAGCCTGTAGTGTCACAGTTGAGCCTGTAGTGTCACAGTTCAGCCTGCATTGTTGTCGCAAGTGTAACGTATTACGCAATCTGTCAGAATTGAGCTCCATGAACAAGGAGACCAAAGTGAGCTCCATGAACAAGGAGACCAAAGTGAGCCCCAGGAACAAGGAGACCAAAGTGAGCCCCAGGAACAAGGAGACCAAAGTGAGCCCCAGGAACAAGGAGACCAAAGTGAGCCCCAGGAACAAGGAGACCAAAGTGAGCCCCAGGAACAAGGAGACCAAAGTGAGCCCCAGGAACAAGGAGACCAAAGTGAGCCCCAGAAACAAGGAGACCAAAGTGAGCCCCAGAAACAAGGAGACCAAAGTGAGCCCCAGAAACAAGGAGACCAAAGTGAGCCCCAGAAACAAGGAGACCAAAGTGAGCCCCAGAAACAAGGAGACCAAAGTGAGCTCTAGGAAGAAGCAGACCAAAGTGGTCTAGCATAAGCCACATATTTACCACATAAGCATATATTGCGAGCGACTCTTTGCACAATATTGACCTCATTAGTATGAGTAACTCCTCACCCCTTCTTCACCCCCACATATGTGGATATGTGTAGGTATATTTGTATATATGTATATATATGTGTATGTAGTTGTATACAGGGTATGTGGAAGCTGGTCAGAATTGCATTTCACCTTTGCAAATGACTATGTAAAAAGACATCTCAAACACTGTTTATGTTGGACAGATGTAAATGTAAGGTCTCTGTACGTCTGTATAGATCTCTGTACGTCTGTATAGATCTCTGTACGTCTGTATAGATCTCTGTACGTCTGTATAGATCTCTGTACGTCTGTATAGATCTCTCTACGTCTGTATAGATCTCTCTACGTCTGTATAGATCTCTCTACGTCTGTATAGATCTCTGTACGTCTGTATAGATCTCTGTACGTCTGTATAGATCTCTCTACGTCTGTATAGATCTCTGTACGTCTGTATAGATCTCTGTACGTCTGTATAGATCTCTGTACGTCTGTATAGATCTCTGTACGTCTGTATAGATCTCTGTACGTCTGTATAGATCTCTGTACGTCTGTATAGATCTCTGTACGTCTGTATAGATCTCTGTACGTCTGTATAGATCTCTGTACGTCTGTATAGATCTCTGTACGTCTGTATAGATCTCTGTACGTCTGTATAGATCTCTGTACGTCTGTATAGATCTCTGTACGTCTGTATAGATCTCTGTACGTCTGTATAGATCTCTGTACGTCTGTATAGATCTCTGTACGTCTGTATAGATCTCTGTACGTCTGTATAGATCTCTGTACGTCTGTATAGATCTCTGTACGTCTGTATAGATCTCTGTACGTCTGTATAGATCTCTGTACGTCTGTATAGATCTCTGTACGTCTGTATAGATCTCTGTACGTCTGTATAGATCTCTGTACGTCTGTATAGATCTCTGTACGTCTGTATAGATCTCTGTACGTCTGTATAGATCTCTGTACGTCTGTATAGATCTCTGTACGTCTGTATAGATCTCTGTACGTCTGTATAGATCTCTGTACGTCTGTATAGATCTCTGTACGTCTGTATAGATCTCTGTACGTCTGTATAGATCTCTGTACGTCTGTATAGATCTCTGTACGTCTGTATAGATCTCTGTACGTCTGTATAGATCTCTGTACGTCTGTATAGATCTCTGTACGTCTGTATAGATCTCTGTACGTCTGTATAGATCTCTGTACGTCTGTATAGATCTCTGTACGTCTGTATAGATCTCTGTACGTCTGTATAGATCTCTGTACGTCTGTATAGATCTCTGTACGTCTGTATAGATCTCTGTACGTCTGTATAGATCTCTGTACGTCTGTATAGATCTCTGTACGTCTGTATAGATCTCTGTACGTCTGTATAGATCTCTGTACGTCTGTATAGATCTCTGTACGTCTGTATAGATCTCTGTACGTCTGTATAGATCTCTGTACGTCTGTATAGATCTCTGTACGTCTGTATAGATCTCTGTACGTCTGTATAGATCTCTGTACGTCTGTATAGATCTCTGTACGTCTGTATAGATCTCTGTACGTCTGTATAGATCTCTGTACGTCTGTATAGATCTCTGTACGTCTGTATAGATCTCTGTACGTCTGTATAGATCTCTGTACGTCTGTATAGATCTCTGTACGTCTGTATAGATCTCTGTACGTCTGTATAGATCTCTGTACGTCTGTATAGATCTCTGTACGTCTGTATAGATCTCTGTACGTCTGTATAGATCTCTGTACGTCTGTATAGATCTCTGTACGTCTGTATAGATCTCTGTACGTCTGTATAGATCTCTGTACGTCTGTATAGATCTCTGTACGTCTGTATAGATCTCTGTACGTCTGTATAGATCTCTGTACGTCTGTATAGATCTCTGTACGTCTGTATAGATCTCTGTACGTCTGTATAGATCTCTGTACGTCTGTATAGATCTCTGTACGTCTGTATAGATCTCTGTACGTCTGTATAGATCTCTGTACGTCTGTATAGATCTCTGTACGTCTGTATAGATCTCTGTACGTCTGTATAGATCTCTGTACGTCTGTATAGATCTCTGTACGTCTGTATAGATCTCTGTACGTCTGTATAGATCTCTGTACGTCTGTATAGATCTCTGTACGTCTGTATAGATCTCTGTACGTCTGTATAGATCTCTGTACGTCTGTATAGATCTCTGTACGTCTGTATAGATCTCTGTACGTCTGTATAGATCTCTGTACGTCTGTATAGATCTCTGTACGTCTGTATAGATCTCTGTACGTCTGTATAGATCTCTGTACGTCTGTATAGATCTCTGTACGTCTGTATAGATCTCTGTACGTCTGTATAGATCTCTCTACGTCTGTATAGATCTCTCTACGTCTGTATAGATCTCTCTACGTCTGTATAGATCTCTCTACGTCTGTATAGATCTCTCTACGTCTGTATAGATCTCTCTACGTCTGTATAGATCTCTCTACGTCTGTATAGATCTCTCTACGTCTGTATAGATCTCTCTACGTCTGTATAGATCTCTCTACGTCTGTATAGATCTCTCTACGTCTGTATAGATCTCTCTACGTCTGTATAGATCTCTCTACGTCTGTATAGATCTCTCTACGTCTGTATAGATCTCTCTACGTCTGTATAGATCTCTCTACGTCTGTATAGATCTCTCTACGTCTGTATAGATCTCTCTACGTCTGTATAGATCTCTCTACGTCTGTATAGATCTCTCTACGTCTGTATAGATCTCTCTACGTCTGTATAGATCTCTCTACGTCTGTATAGATCTCTCTACGTCTGTATAGATCTCTCTACGTCTGTATAGATCTCTCTACGTCTGTATAGATCTCTCTACGTCTGTATAGATCTCTCTACGTCTGTATAGATCTCTCTACGTCTGTATAGATCTCTCTACGTCTGTATAGATCTCTCTACGTCTGTATAGATCTCTCTACGTCTGTATAGATCTCTGTACGTCTGTATAGATCTCTGTACGTCTGTATAGATCTCTGTACGTCTGTATAGATCTCTGTACGTCTGTATAGATCTCTGTACGTCTGTATAGATCTCTGTACGTCTGTATAGATCTCTGTACGTCTGTATAGATCTCTGTACGTCTGTATAGATCTCTGTACGTCTGTATAGATCTCTGTACGTCTGTATAGATCTCTGTACGTCTGTATAGATCTCTGTACGTCTGTATAGATCTCTGTACGTCTGTATAGATCTCTGTACGTCTGTATAGATCTCTGTACGTCTGTATAGATCTCTGTACGTCTGTATAGATCTCTGTACGTCTGTATAGATCTCTGTACGTCTGTATAGATCTCTGTACGTCTGTATAGATCTCTGTACGTCTGTATAGATCTCTGTACGTCTGTATAGATCTCTGTACGTCTGTATAGATCTCTGTACGTCTGTATAGATCTCTGTACGTCTGTATAGATCTCTGTACGTCTGTATAGATCTCTGTATGTCTGTATAGATCTCTGTATGTCTGTATAGATCTCTGTATGTCTGTATAGATCTCTGTATGTCTGTATAGATCTCTGTACGTCTGTATAGATCTCTGTACGTCTGTATAGATCTCTGTACGTCTGTATAGATCTCTGTACGTCTGTATAGATCTCTGTATGTCTGTATAGATCTCTGTACGTCTGTATAGATCTCTGTACGTCTGTATAGATCTCTGTATGTCTGTATAGATCTCTGTATGTATGTATAGATCTCTGTATGTCTGTATAGATCTCTGTACGTCTGTATAGATCTCTGTACGTCTGTATAGATCTCTCTACGTCTGTATAGATCTCTGTACGTCTGTATAGATCTCTGTACGTCTGTATAGATCTCTGTACGTCTGTATAGATCTCTGTACGTCTGTATAGATCTCTCTACGTCTGTATAGATCTCTCTACGTCTGTATAGATCTCTGTATGTCTGTATAGATCTAAAATGTAAAGGTCTCTGGAGACGCCTCTAAGGCGTCTCCAGAGACCTACAGTATGGAGAGTGGGGAAGTGTGTGCAGGAAGTAACACACCAGGCAGGCCAGCTGGCCGTGGAGGCCGGACACACACACACGAGCAACACACCAGGCAGGCCAGCTGGCCGTGGAGGCCGGACACACACACAACACACCAGGCAGGCCAGCTGGCCGTGGAGGCCGGACACACACACACACGAGCAACACACCAGGCAGGCCAGCTGGCCGTGGAGGCCGGACACACACACAACACACCAGGCAGGCCAGCTGGCCGTGGAGGCCGGACACACACACAACACACCAGGCAGGCCAGCTGGCCGCGGAGGCCGGACACACACACACACAAGAGTAACACACCAGGCAGGCCAGCTGGCCGTGGAGGCCGGACACACACACACACGAGCAACACACCAGGCAGGCCAGCTGGCCGTGGAGGCCGGACACACACACAACACACCAGGCAGGCCAGCTGGCCGTGGAGGCCGGACACACACACAACACACCAGGCAGGCCAGCTGGCCGCGGAGGCCGGACACACACACACACAAGAGTAACACACCAGGCAGGCCAGCTGGCCGTGGAGGCCGGACACACACGAGAGCAACACACCAGGCAGGCCAGCTGGCCGTGGAGGCCGGACACACACGAGAGCAACACACCAGGCAGGCCAGCTGGCCGCGGAGGCCGGACACACACACACACACAAGAGCAACACACCAGGCAGGCCAGCTGGCCGTGGAGGCCGGACACACACACACAAGAGTAACACACCAGGCAGGCCAGGTGGCCGTGGAGGCCGGACACACACACACCAGAGCAACACACCAGGCAGGCCAGCTGGCCGTGGAGGCCGGACACACACACACCAGAGCAACACACCAGGCAGGCCAGCTGGCCGTGGAGGCCGGACACACACACACCAGAGCAACACACCAGGCAGGCCAGCTGGCCGTGGAGGCCGGACACACACACAACAC